GGGGGGGGTAATTCTGGACCCTAGGTTCTTTTACATTTTTTAGAGTTTCCCTGCAGATTTACGTTCCAGTGGCCTACTGTGGTAATTGGCTTAGTAACACAGCCTTTGTTTTCTGCTTTCCTGCCTTTATCACTTTACCACTCTCCTACTAAAGTTCCCTATTCTACCCAAATAAGCTATTTGCTCTCCAAAGTTTTTCTCAGAATCTTATCCTGGGGAACTCAAGCCAAAACACTGTCTTCATGCCACAGGAATCCCCTAGGGCATGCCAACTGCTCATTGACCCTCTCCTTGAGAATTAACAGCAGATAGAAAATATTCTTGGTTTAAAACACCTCATGGTTCGATAGCTAAAAATGTCCAGCCAGTACTTCCTTCTTTTGTGCTGAAGCACGCCTCAAAGTAAACTCCACCCTTATTGATCCTTTTTCTGGATTTCAGAACAATCTAGAAAAAGATCACTTTCTCCTCCATGACTATTATTTGGGTATTTCCTTTTTAAACTACATTTTCTGGTCCTAAGATGATATGGTTTTTAGACATTTACCGTACTGCCTGTCAATCTCTAGATATCCTTTTGTGAGTCAAAATCTTCCTTAGAGCCCTGTAAAACCAAATGAGACTAACGAGGTAGAGGAGTCCAGTGACAAGGGGCAGAAGGCAGAAGAGGACAAGGAAGCTGGTGATAGGGAACCCAAGGTTGAGTAAGAATATTGTTGATGTGTTGTGAGATTGTTAATCATTGTCATAGGGCAACACGTGTCCTAAACTGTTAAATGAGAAGCTGTTTTGTTCTGTAAGCCTTCATCTTAAGTGAGAATAACAGCACAACTGAAAGAACGTAGTCAATGTCACTGAACTGTGCATGTAGAAATTTTTGAAACGGTGTATATTTGACTATGTGTATTTTCACCAAAAAAAAAAGGTTGAGAAGTTAGAGGGTTGATATGTTGTGGGGTTGTTAACCAATGTCAGAAAACAACATGTGTACTACTGTTTCATGAGAAACTATTTGTTCTGTAAGCCTTCACCTGAAGTACAATAAAAAAAGAAAAAAAAATCTTCCTCAGAGAAAAGTCTACAGATTTCTCTGGATGTTGTAAAACAGAACTATATTACCTGGAACTTGATTCTCTATTACCATCTGAAATAAAATAGGGCGAATTGTTAGCCATCTTGTACTAGACCACGTTAATTGTGTCGTCAATAAAATTTCCAGAATTCATTGCATTAATTGTTCTAAAACAAGGGCTCCCATACAAGGGTAATATTCAAAATATAAAACAATGCCTATGACAGTCAATCAGAACTAATCAATCAGAATAACATAACCCAAGGTCTTGTGGCAAGGCATGGAGATTCTCACTGAGCTAGCTGTTAACCCTCCAGTTGCAGGATTGTGAGAAACACAGGGAATTTTGGGGTGGGCAAAAGGGGAAGTACTTGGGGGGTCCAGATAGTAGTTATTTATAAAAGTAAGGGAAGCTTTCAATATGTAAAAACTAGCATAGCAGTACCAGTGTAAGCCTTCTTAATATCAGTCTTGCTTCCCTACCAGACTTCTACTTTATAAAATATAACCTATTCCCAACATACCTGGAGTCTTGTACTTTCTGAAGTTGATGTTGGCAAGAACAAAGTGGATGATAGTTGGGCAATCTTTCTCCACATCAGGGTTCTTGGGTTTAAAGACATAACACTCCTTCAGTCCTTCCCGATCAAACACATAAGGATCAATCTTTGGAAAAGGGAGGTTGTTCATTTTAGCCCACTTTTCTGCAAGTAGAAGTTCCTATGGGAGAGCGAGATGCATTTGACACTTTTTAGTCTTTGTTTGCTCCATTGGTCTGGTCATCATTCAATATTAATTAACTCATTGCCGTCAAGTCAATTCTGACTCAGAGTGACCCTACAGGACAGAATAGAAATGTCCCATAGGGTTTCCAAGGCTGTAATCTTTACGGAAGCAGACTGTCACATCTTTCTCCCATGGAGTGGCTGGTGGAGTCAAATCGCCAGTCTTTTGGTTAGCAGCCAAGCAATTAACCACTGTGCCACCAGGGCTCCTCAATATTCATTAGGTGTCTACTACGTGCTGACAGTGGGCTCCTTGCTAGGATGAATAATGACACTGTTCTCAAGAAGCTCATCAATCCTTGGCACAGGGCTAGCTCCACAGCAGGCACTTGAAAAATTATTGATGAACTAAACTGAAGTTATATTGATGTAATTACTAGAAAATTGCATGAGATTTTTCCCTCAGGAGTAAAAGAACCTGATGGAACAGAATGAGGAACTCTGTTACTGGATTTTTACCCATATCATTCCCACCAAAGTATAAAAGGTACACCAAAGTGTACATTTTATATATATAAAAATATTTGAGTTACTCTAAATCAGCTTTTTTTTTGCTCCGGTTTAAGAAAAGAAGTTGATCTCTGGCCTTAACATGTTATTATATGTGTAATAGCTATGAGTAGCCTGTACAGAGGTACCAGGAGTTTAGTTAATGGATGTGGCAGATTGTATGATTGTTTCCACATAACAGGTCCCTTTCTGGGAAGAGGATATACGTCCCCATGAGAATGAGAAAATGCACGGTATTCAGCCATCACAGCTGATTTGCAACTGCTACCACGTAATGTAACTGAGAAATACTTGTTTGTTGTCAGCCACTGAGATTTTTGAGCCTGTTTTTTCCTGCATCAAAGCTGATTAATGCAATGGGTAAGTACAAAAATTATTTAAACTAGAGAACATAAATCAATAGGTTTCATTCATATGCCGCACTATGAACTAGTTCTGTGATCTCAGACACCTTTCTTAACCTCTCTGTGTTCAATATCCTCAAATATAAAATAAGATTTCTATTAGAATTGAATGAATCAACATTTGTACAGTATTTAGAACAGTGTCTGTCACATATTAAGTGCTATACAAATGTTTTATAAATAAATATCAGTAAAGAGAGGGAAAGGGATGGAAGGAAACCAGTTTGGAAAACAAAAGAGAAAAAAGAAAGAGAGATAGGAGCATTATTAGGGAAAATTCTAGAGAAAGGAACTTTTAGGGAAATTATCATTACAGTCTTAAGTTTTTTTAAAAACTATTCTTGGCATCTTGATTCATTCCAGAATAATCATTGGTTGCCAACTAAGTTCCAGTCTCCATGCTAGGAGTCGGGGACATAGCAGTGAGTAAAACATTCATGGCTCTTGTCATGAGATGTATAGCTTGGTAGGTGAGAGATAGTAATCAAATAACCCTTCCTGTATATAATTGTGATAAATGCTTTAAAAAAAAATACAGTTCACCATGAGATTTTACCATACAGCTGGGCTACTTCCTCTGAGTATTTATTTATTCATTCAACAATTATTACTGAGCACCTCCTACGTCAGGTGTAAGAGAGGTTGTCCCCAAAAAAACATAGAGCATATAGATCAGTGGGAGAGAGAAAATATAGATATTATGGTACAATCTGATAGAAGCATTGAAGGTGATGGATAGTTACGTCCTGGCTGTGAAGTCTGAAATGTCCAGCTCAAACAAGATGTCTTAACTTGCTAGCTGGGTGACTTTGGGCAAATATCTTAGTCACATCAGCTCCACAAAGAAGAAATTATTTTCGGGGATGAAGTATGCAGTGATATTCCCCTAAGGACACCTTAGGGACCATAAGTAAAAACAAACAAATAGGGAAGAGTTTGTTCACTGTCTCCGAAACGGCGTGGCTTCCAATCTCATCTCATCTACATTTTGCCTGTTCCTTATTTCTAAGCAACTAATTTTCTACATTGTAAAATAAAGCTAATACTATTATCTTCCTCATAAATTGCTGTGAGGATTAAATATGGTAATGTATAAAGAACTCAGTAACTCAGATTCAGTAAAAAACAAGTACTTTAAAATAGCACATTAAATTTAGAGAAGAATAAATATTCAGTTGAACTCTCACTGTTCTTGTTACTTTTGGAATGTGAATTTTAAATTGATCAGCTTGCTCTCTATACCATTTGCAAAGAGATAATAATCTGGGAGAACAAAGGATGTAGTGAATAGGAAAGAATTTATTCTGTAAACTATTAAGCTAAATACGATTATGTTTCACAGAAAACCCCGTATACATATGACTAATTTCTTGTCTGAAACATGAGAAAACTTTTATCACTAAGCTCCTCTATTTTTTTCCTCTGTTCGGTTGAATTATTCAGCTTGTTATTTCTTGTCTGGTAGTATTTACAATTGTTCACTGAAGATTATTCAACATCAAAATAAAACCAAAAGTTTACACTGGGTCGAAGTTGCGTGCGGGCAAGGAAAAGAAGGAGCTTTCTAGTGTTTACAAACATGACTCAAAGAGTATGACCAGTGATGTGTGGATGTGTGGAGAAAGAGGAAAAGGGAACTGCGTGAGGTAAAGTCCAGGCTATTTTTAGATAAACCGTTCCACACTGGAATCGGGGAAAAATGGAAACTTTCCCTTTTTCTTATGCAATCCTGATGTGGAAAAGATTAAAAACTGGTGACTACAGAGGCAGTGATTACGGGATGGAAAAACCGTCTCCTTTCTGATGTCTCGTTCCTCTTTTTGTGAAGACTGAGAAACCATGACACAGACTGAGTAGAGCCGACTAGTCTAACAAAGTATTTTTGGAAGAATGCAGTGAACAAAAAAAATGCTGGTCCACAAATTATAGCAATGCACCAGAACAGTGTTCTAACTCCTTGTTTTGGTTATTGTTTGACACCTCAAATACTTCATATTTCCGTGATTAATTTATAGTAAAATTACGTTTAAAAAAAGTTGCAACTGTGTCGATTCCGACTCAGAGAGATCCTATGTGTGTCAGAGTAGAACTATGCCCCGTAGGGTTTTCAACGGCTAATTTTTTAGAAGTAGATCTCCAGTCCTTTCTTTTGAGGGGCTTCTGTGTGGACCCAAATAATCAATCTTTTGGTCAGCAGCCTAGTGCATTAATTGTTTGCACCAAAAACCAGCCAGGGACTCCATAATTCTAATCAAAAACATTTTCTGTAGAGATAAACATTTGACAGTCTTCTTCAAAGTGATACTTTGTAAGATGTTTGCACTCTTTTTTAGTATTTAAACATCACTAAAAAGCCTCGAAGGATAGGAAAAATAATCTAAATATGTTCAAACCATAAAATATATAAAAAACAATAAATTGACTTCATTAGAGGAAATGAGATTCTCTCTCTCTCTGTGCAAACGTAGGATCTGTGCCTTTAAAGATGTTTCTTAAAATCTATTTCAAGTTTGGGGAGAGGGGAGCAGTATAAGTATGTAAATAAAACTGACAAATCTTAGAAGAATATTGAAACCTATTTTTAAGATTGGAGAGAGAGGTGGGATATAATTATGTAAATAAAATTGATTCATCTTAGAAAAATACTGAAGCAACTAATATAAGTATAGCAGATAGAAACTACAGTTTACAATTCATTATTTTGTAGCTATAGTCACTCTTACTTCCAAAAAAAAGGATGCTAGCATTAAGACCCAAGAGCTCTATAATGCAATAGAGGTAGAAATAATTTTCTGTATTAACATTTTCTAGCTAGCTCTTCTTCACTAAGAGGTTACTATAAATTCACAAAAATATATAAGGAGAAATTAATGGTTGATTTCTACTCGTCACAAGACATCGGATCCTCAGTATCCAATACAGGTACACCTGGAAGTATAAGGACCATGCAGAGCCCTTGTATCAGCCCAGGGGGGCTGATGCCCACAAGCAGGTGGTGGGACTGCTTTAGCCATGATGGTGTGATCCAACCTAAGAATTACGACTGAATCACACACAGAGGATCTAAAACAAATGTCCTGTCCTAATGTCAATAAATAAGGTGGAAAAACACAGATGTATTTTTTCTTTGTTTGTGGATTTCAATGGAATTTTAACCTTGAGTAAAATATGGAGAGATAAAGTTAAGCATACATTACTTCTGCCATTTGTGAAGACTAGCTAATTTCAAATTATCCTTCCTTCTGGCCTTTCTCATTGCCTCCTTCTCTCTCTTTTTCTATTTTTCTTTCTTTCTTTTTTTTTTTTTAATGAACCATTTTTCTGGCTTCTAGTCATTAAGCTTTGACAACAACACTGAAAGACTGAGCCAGGTTTATGTCCAATTTATGTCAACAGAAATAACATAATAATTTGAACAAGTTACTCTTCATAAAATTTAGGAAGATTTAAAAAAATTAAAAAAACACACACAAAATATCTCCAGTAGCTAAACTCAGAATTCTCTATACTCCTTACTTGCTTGATTACTTATCTATAATTCCTCAATAAGACAGAAAACTTAATGTTTTTCCCCCCTAAATTCACAGGATGGTTGTTTTGCAGATGTTGACTTGTTTCCGTGACCAATATTAAAGACAAATCCCATTAGAATGGTCGGCAAACAAAATCTGCATGTTATAAAGCTAATAGTTACTAAATGGTTAACAAAAAGAAAACTGGACAAAATGAAACAGTTACTTTTCTTAGATTAGTAGAAGTACTATTTAGAATCATAAGACTCTTATATCTGCATTATTAATAAATAACCTAATAACACTACTAATCTAAAAAAAATTCCCAGCATCATTTGCATTGACATCATCAGCTTTCAAGGGCAGTTACAAAACAGACAGGTCATAAACTGTGGTTGTCTTTATAAAAAGTTTTGATATCCATCTTTCTATATCTTTCTTTCAAAATACCAGATTTAACTCTGTTTATGGCAGGCTAGAATATTTAACAAAATGATACACAGTCAGTGGTTCTGAGTTTTTGCCCAGCATTTATGTTTAACTCTTTTATGAAAAATAGTGTTTATAGTTCGATCTAAAAATAGAAAATGATTCACTGTTTAATCACCTTAATAAATTCATATTGCATATAACTGATTAGTACATTGGAACTTTCCTCCTCCTAGCCAAAGAAATGTGTGTAGAATCCAAAAAGTATCCCATTTTAGCATTAAAAATATACTATTTTACCAATTTAATAATTAAATTTGGAAAATCTTTTAGATTAACTTTAGCAATACATACTTATAATCAAGCTCATAGGTTTAAAAATGCTCTTTCAATATTCAAAAATAAACATGAAAAGTTCATTTTGTTCATTTTAAACTTCCTGAAGTTCATCTTTGGAGATCAAAAAAAAAAAAAAAAAGTATTGTATTTAATATATTGAAATTTCCTTTATAGTAAATCTCTGCATATATAATTCATTATTTCCAAACTAATAGGTTTTACATTATACTAAACTGATGATAAAAGGAGCTATATACATTTAGGGGAGGGGATGAAATGGAAGGAATTGAAAAAAAAAAAACTATTCTAAAGTACATCCATGAAAATACAGAGGTAGAAAGTGTCTACAGATTATTTTTAGACAGAAAGAAGTGGTGATTGGAGACATGCTCTCTAAGACTGTAAATACATAAGAGAGCTACAGCTATCAAAGAACAGTACGAAACTGAGATAAAAATTGTCAGATGGACCACTGAAATACAACCAATAAACTCAAAACAGATCTTAGTGTTCTTAATAGCAATGCAGTGTATGATAAAGGAATCATCACAAGATAATGTTGGATAAAAGTCTACAAGGAGGACTGTATCATTACACATTCAGTATGTTCAGAAAGATTAATGAACTAAAATACTTTTTAAAATTATTATAAAATAAAATTGGTCCATATTTAACTGATCTTTGTGAGCAGTATAAATGTCAAAAATAAAAGCAATAGAAGAAGTCACAAAGTCTATCTGTTGGAATACATAAATACTTAAAATATTAAAATCATCAGAAAAAACAATTTAAATGCAAATGACACATTACATAATACTTTCAAAGGTAAGACAAAATTTAATATCCTTAAAATATGAAAGTGCCTATTATGCAATACCAGCAACATTAATGACCCAATTTAAAAATATTAAAAAATACGAATATACAATAACTATGACAAGCCATGCACAGTAGTTAAGGGCTACAACTGCTAACCAAAGAGTAGGCAGTTCAAATCCACCAGCTGCTCCTTGGCAACCTTATGGGGCAGTTCTACTCTGTCCTGCAGGGTCACTATGAGTGGGAATTGACTCAGTGGCAACGGGTTTGGTTTTGTTTTTGGTATGACAAGCCATTTAATCTCACAAAGAAACAAAAGTAAACTGAACATGAGTTTCTTTTATTTTTAATTTTTTGTCTGTCATTTTGCAATTTTTTTTATTTTTTATGCCTGTAAAGGCATGTGAAACAGGGGCTCACATATACAATCTGCTATAGAAATGTAAATCTGTGTAGCTTTTCTGAAAAAGCAATCTGGAAATATTTATTAAAAGTAATAAACTGATACATATCTAGGAACCCAACTAAAAGAAATAACAAAAAATGTGATTAATGATTCATGTGTAAGGATAATCATTATAGAATATAAAAAGTGGCAAGATAGCAATAATATAAATGTTGAAAATAGTCTTTTTCAACAAATTCTTACATATTTATAAATAGAGATCCTATGTCATCCTAAAAATTGTTTTTGAAAAATATTTAATGACACAGGGAAATGATCACAATTACAATTGTAAGTAGAAGAAGCAGAATGTAAAGCTATATGACCCTGCTGTTGTCATGTGCACACAAACACACACACAGATGAGAGACTAGAAAAAATACCAAAAGATTAGCAGCCGTTGTGTCTGAATAGCAGAAGCATTTGATGTATTTTCCAAATATTTTGTGAGTCCATATTCTTCTTAATCAGAAATAAATCAATATTTAAAAACTACTGCAAAATGCAATGGTTCTTTTTAGAAGAACAAAGTGATATTCTAAAACCTCTTCCAGTATCACTCATTGAGGTAGTAGGGTTCTGATTCATATGCAAAATGATGGTTTTGACATTTTACACTCCCATTGTTGAAAAGAATACTATAGTATCCTCCATCACTAGAACCAACTTCTAAGCTAGCATCTTACAGTCGTCCATTGAAACCTGCCTTTCATTATTCCTCAGGGGTCATCAGATCCTGCTGCTGTGTTGGTTTTCACAGTCAGCTTCTTGGTGCAGCATCTAATTATCCTATGGTTGGCTTACAGGAAAGCCCTCTTCATTTTAATCTTTGTGCAATCCATTCTTCAATTCATCCTACTTTCCCCTGCCAGATTAATCATACTAAAATTCCAGTTTCATGAAATCATTTGTCTGATAGATATCCTCCACTGATTCTCTGTTTCCTATCTTCCAATCTTAAATTCTTCCCTAATGCCTCCTAATGTGAACTCAGTCTCTATCAGATCACTTCTAATGAGATCACTCCAGTTCCTCAGATGTTCTGCTCGTTGCCATCTCTGCGCTGTTTCATCCCGTTTCTTTTATTTCCCTGCTTATCTACTCCAGGACACATCAAATTATTCTTACACTGATTTCTTATAATGCACATACTGATATAAAACCAAACAAATAACTATTGAACATTCTATTTTCTTGATTTCCTCCCAAATGGCTCTTGTGTAAAGTCTTTCCTACTAAAAGGCCAAAATATTATGGACATCAGGAATCATGTTTTACAATTAACTTCTGCCCAAGGCACACAGCACAGCAAAGAGTATACAGCAGTATGCACAAAAGAGGCAGCAAGTACAGGGAAAAGAGCATTAGGTTCTCATTGGGTAGCCTTGGAATCTGATCCAAGTTTGACCACTTCTTAAGGAGCACATCCCCCGCTAGATCCTGGGCTATGCTCCTTTCACACCTTATCTTATTTAATTATTGGTGTGATGAGATGGCTTGATCTCACCAAATTTAATTCCTTGTCTGAATACCACTAACTGCCTAAAGAAAGATCAAATATGAAATCTTTTTGAAAACTGTTGAGTTTATATATATGTGTATATAGAGAGAGAAACAGAGAAAGACAGAGTAGAACTGCCCCCACAGGGTTTCCAAGGAGTGGCTGGTGGATTCAAACTGCCAACATTTTGGTTAGCAGCCTAGCTTTTAACCATTATGACACGAGGGCTTTATATATATAAATATAAATATATACATATAGAGAGAGAGAGAGATGTTTCTATACTTCTATCCACCTCTGTCGTGTATCCGCCTCCCAGTTCCTACCCCTGTAATCTTCCCCGTGATGTGACTCTACCACGTATCTCATCTCTCCAATAACACTGGCTTCCATTAATGGATGACTCCTGGCCATCAGTATTTAAACATGCTCAAGTCCCTTCTATTAACGCACACACAACTTTCCTTTCCCCGCATCCTCTTGAAGTTACAGTTCATTTCTCTCTTTCCCTGAACGCTGTAGTATTGTCACCATTTTCTTAACTTCCAGTCATTCCTCAAACCACTGCAGTTGGATTTCTGCCCTCACAATAGTTTCGTGCTATTGAAACTGCTCTTGCCCAGTTTATCAAAGGCTTCCTTAGTGTTAACTAGCTTCCATTGCTTTTCATAACACTGCACACTTCCTTTGTTTTCTTCCTATTTTCCCTTGATGCTGTTCTGCAAACAAACAAACAAAAAAAAACAAACCCACTGCCAACTCACAGAGTAGAACTACCCCGTAGTGTTTCCAAGGAGCGGCTGGTGAATTTGAACTGCCAAACTTTTAGTTAGCAGCCGAGCTCTTAACCACTGAACTACAAGAGCTCATCCAATTACGTGGCTTTAATTATCTTTTACCTGCTGATAACTCCCAAATCTTTATGTCTCTCAGCCCAATTTCCTTCCAGAACTTCAGATCCATTGTATTGTACTTGTCTTAATCCAGACTCTGACTTTAATGTGGATCACGGAGAATCATTTAAAAGTTTCTTTAAGCAGAGGAGTGAAAGAATCAGGTCTGTGTTTTAGAAATGTTACTGCTAATGATGTAGAAAATAGGCTTAAGGGATAAGAAACTAGGGTCAAGGAGACTTAAGAGATTTATAAGACATGCAAGAGAATATGGTAGATAATGGAATGTTATATACTCTGTTCTTACCTTGAAGGGAGGACTGGAGTCACTTGGCCTTGCAGAAAAGTCAAAGGAAATGATGAGATCGACCCCCCTCTGTGGTCTCAGGATCAAGGGATAGGGCAGGTTAAACGTGAGCCCACTGTCTACTACATGGATCTTTTTACTTTTGACATCCAGGGGCTCATATATTCGTTCAAATTCATCAGGATCTTAAAAAAAGGGAAGAAATGAAGAGAAAAGAATGAATCAAATGATTATTTATCATTTAACATTACTTAGGACATAAAACTGTTTGTTAGGTAGAGAGGCAGAATTCCATAGAGTTAGGCCCTCAGGCTAAGGAAACAAACAGATCCAGGCATGAGTCCAGTTTTGGAGATTGTAAATTATTGTCTTAGTTTCTTCTTCTGTAACATCAGGGTAAAAGTACCTAACAGGTAAGTTTGCTGTAAGGATTAAGCCGAACAAAGTGTGGAAAGCACTTAGCACAGGCCCTGGCATTAACTCTAAGCTATGCTTCATGATTCCTTTAATAGTATCATCTCACATTATATCACTGTTTTAAGATACTTCCTCATACATTATCTTGGGTGTACGTTTATAACAGCCATGTAAGATAGATAATTTTTTTTTTTTTAATTTTTGTTTTAAAACCTTTCATCTCTAAAGTACTGTGTAACAAATGAAAGTCATAAACTATAGCTAATTGTGCCCATTATAAACAGGAAAAAAGTTTAAAGTTGATTTGTACCACCCAACCCAGCTGAAGGAAAAAGGAAAGGCGAGAATAAGTGGCCTTAAGTGAATAGCAGATATGCTAAAAAGAGATATTATTTTTTTAAAGACAAGAATAAGGTCATGTGCCTGAATAATAAAGGCATGATTTTTTTTTTTTTTTTCAAAAGGCTTTCATTATTTATCAAAAATACTGATGGAGTGTTTGCTGTGTCCAAGGAGTCCTCCTAGGCCAAGGAGGAGAGAGAAGAGGAATCATTTTTAAAATAATTACCTTTATATTAATCAAGATCCTAAGCTTCTATCTATAATAGAACCTGAGACTTAAGGACTGTAAAATTTATACATATGTATATGTGTGTGTGTTATTAAAGCCAATTTAACCACTTACTACTTTGAATTTTTTATTTAAAAATTACATACATGAACTTAAAGAGTCAAAAATTTTCAATTTTTTGTTTATATGAGTTTTTAAATATCTTACTAAGAAGTCGAACATTCATTATTCGGGTATTCTTAGTTCTTCTAAAAGCTGCTTCATTAACTTTGAGTGCCTGTTATGTATTAGAAATTTCATATATAAGATTTTTCATCCTTATGAGACTCTTGCAAAGGAGGTATTAGTAACCTCCTTTTAAAGATAAGGAAACAGAAGCCCTAAGAAGTCAAATTAATTGTGTGGTTCCAACACAGATAATCAAAGTCAAGATTCTAAGCCAGGTATTTCTGTCCATGAAGCTTAAGCCCTGTGCACAATGTCACACTGTGACTTCAGTCCCAGGCACAGCCAGACAACTAAAAAGGTTTGAAACAGAAGACCTAAAAAAGCAATAACTACAATGGACAGAGGCTCTCTACACATGCCTCCATTCAATGTTAAAACCACATTATTGTGAATATTTTTTAAAATGCAATTATTTGTCTTAAAATAATAAAAATACAATAATAATTCATGAATGGTTTTCTTTGGCTCCATAAACTCAGTATTTTAGGAATTTTAGAGAAAAGATTAGCCAAAAAACAGATAGATCATTGCCCTCATATTCTGTTTGATTTATCCCATCACATCAGGACTCTTTTCCTCTCATAAATTCAAGATGCATTTGAGAGAAAATAATCATGTCTAGCTAGTGGACCAATTCCCAGATCTAGCACGTAGCTAAACATCATCATTAACCCCTCCAGATGAACCAACAGGAAGTAGTGTTTCTCAACTGGGTTGCAAAGACCGTAGTTTGCAAGATATTAACAGATGTTTCACATACAAAATAAGGGTCCCATGATCAAACAAATTTGAGAAAGACAACATTCAACAGCTTACATTAATAACTAACTATATTGTGTGATCCCTCTCCTCACTATGTCTGTGCTGAGAGCACTTTGTATAATGATGCCCATTAAATCCTCACAATGGCTCTATAGAATAGGTACCACTATTCTATTTTATAGAAAACTGAGGCTTAGGTTAAATAACCACTCAAGATTGTCAAGCTAATAAATGATTCCAGTGTAGACCATTCTGCTTTTAAAGTACTGTACTTGAGGCAACTTTAAGGAGGATTTCTCAAACTCACTAGGGTGTCCCATTGCATTGTGAAGAGGAGGATGGAGTTTTCAGTTTTTCCAAAATTATTTGAACTTGAACTCTATTTATTGTATAACATCTACTGAAATGTCATAGAAGGTTTTATAATGTCACTATAGAAGAATATCATCCCATAATTTAAAGAATATATGGTGTTATGGTTTGAATTCTGTCCTTCCAAAAAGATTCAGTGAAGTCTTAACTCCTGGTACCCGTGAACATCACCTTGTTTGGAAATAAGCATTTTGATGTTATCAGTTAACACGCGGTCTTACCAGAGTAGGGTTGATCCTAATCTAATCAGAGTGATGTCCTCATAACAGTGGAGAAGAAGAGACAGAGGAAGGATGTCATACGATGTTGCAGCTGCAAGCCAATGAACACCTGAAGCTACCAGAAGCTGGAAGAGACAAGGAAGGACCTTCTCCTAGGGCCTTCAGAGACAGAGTATGGCCCTGAATCCAAACTACTAGCCTCCAAAACTTCAAGACAATAAATTTCTGTTCTTATATGCCACCTAATTTGTGATATTTTGTTAAGGCAGCCCTAGGAAATCACCACATAGGGTTTCCAACCTGTGAGTGAAAGAATCGGTTCTTAGATAGATACGGAAACATAACTGTGTTTTATAATTATGTAACATGTCTTCAAAACTGTTCAGCTGCAGGTCTTTGTGATGCTCATTTTATAAATAAATCACACAAATTCAATTTACAACTTACAAATATTTATGTTTGTGTTTTGAACTCTGGCCTAAATTAGCTAATTTCCTGATTTCTTGTTCCAGATGGTGTATGTCACAGTAAATAACATAAACACAAAAGTAAACAGGAAAGAAGTCATGCAACTAACAGGCAGCTTTTCCAGAATTAGTTTCCACAGGTACATAACTCTTTTGAAGTAAACCAATGAGGTGAATTTTATCATCTTATAATTTCCCTTGTTTTTGAAAGATCATCAGCAAGGTTAAGTAATAAATACAGAAATAGTGCCTTAACTTTTTTTCATTTTAGGTTGAGGGATTATTCTAAGAGGCTCAAATTCTAATGTGTATAAATAAAATTACCACAGGGTGAGCTAATATGTAAGATTTTCCCAACATAATGGCTAGACTGGATAAAAATCTCTACCTCCTGTGTGTATGTGTGTGTGTGTGTGTGTGTGTGTGTGTCGGGGGTGGGGTGTGTTTCCAAACAGAAAACAGGAAAACAAAAACAACTAAATTAATTAAATTGTGGCACTTTAACTGTGTACTACATAGGGGTTTGAATGAGGACTTTATGAACCAAGATGATCACATTTGGTGATTAACTTTTCATTCCAAACATACAGTTATTCTAAAGTTGGAAACAACAGAGGGAGATAAACAGGGAGGACTATCTTAGGAGGGACCAGTCCCTGGAGAAGGACACTATGCTGGTAAAGTAAAGGGTCAGCAAAAAAGAGGAAGACCCTTAATGAGATGGATTGACACAGTGGCTGCAACAATGGGCTCAAACATAACAACGACTGTGAGGATGGCGCAGGACCGGGCAGTGTTCTGTTCTGTTGTACGTAGGGTCACTGTGAGTCGGAACCGACTCGACGGCACCTAACAACAACAACAATCTTAGTAACGGCCTTGACTGAAAAAGCATTTATCAATTCAGTAAACTCAGTCTAAAATGCAGTCATTGCTAGCAATGTTATTGTCTATAGACATGGCAATGTTGTTCTATAAATAACAAAACTGAATTCTTGGCTAAAATCAATATATCATATACATTTTTCCACTGGATAAATACAAAGTAAGATTTGATTGTAATAATATACACACTGAGAAATAAAATTTGAAGTTCTTTCCAAAGATTATTAATTTAAAATAATTTTAGGCTAAAACATTTTTAAAAATCTCAGCAAAAGAAACAGAAAAAGGAAAAGAGGAAAAAAACCACCCACATTTGGCCCATATTCTTAGTTTGCAGTTGTGTTCTCAAATGAGATTGTTGTAACCTTGCTAATTTACAAACTCGTCAGCATCAGGACTGCTGGTTTTTAGTTTTATTCTGCTTTTCTATACACTGTTAACTAAAGTATATAAATCCTTCCATAAATCACAACTTTGAGGAAGGCACTTGAAATAATTTTTATCTCTATGAAGTCAAGGTCTACGTCTGTCTTGCTCAGTACTGGACGCCAAGCCCCAAGCATCATATAAAAACAAAACAAAACAACAACAACAACCAAAAAAAACCTGTTGCCGTTGAGTCGATTCCGAGTCATAGTGACCCTATAGGACAGAGTAGAACTGCCCCACAGGGTTTCCAAGAAGCAGCTGGTGGATTCGAATTGCCAACCTTTTGGTTAGCAGTCATACTTCTTAACCACTGCGCCACCATGGCTCCTAACCACCTTATAAGTACTTGGTAAATACAGTTTAAATGCAAGAATGAAGGAAGGAAGGTAGAAAGGAACATGAAAATGCAGAACAGTTTGGAAGAAGGTGAGAAAGATGAAAGAGGCACACTTCCTCCTGAGGGTGCCAGGCCTGGCAAGTAAAAATACAAGTTAGAGTTAAATTTAAATTTCAGATAAACAACAAATAATTGTTTAGTATATGTATGTCCCTTGAAAACATTCTGTAGTTTATTGGGCAACCCTAACACTTCCTAATCCACAAAAAATATTGCAAAACTACCAGGAAGTTGTTAAAATGCGAGTGCAGAGCACCTGCCGTGCAAATCGCAGAAGAAGCCTGGCTGGTGATGAGATCAGCACCAGTAATGTAAACAAGATATAATAAAATACACGCAAGCTAAACTTCCATTTCTACATCGGCAAGACAATGACTAATAAAACCAAAAGCCCTGGAGGCACAGTGCTTAAGAGCTACAGCAGCTAACCAAAAGGTCAGCCGTTGGAATCCACCAGCTGCTCCTTGAAGACCCTAGGGGGCAGTTCTAGTCTGTCCTGTAGGGTCGCTATAGGGTTTCTATGAGTCCCAATCACTGGGCAACAGGTTTGGTTTTGGGTTACAGAAAGGACTATAGGGGAGGGAGTGTATCCGAAGGGAAAGTTGTCTGAGCAATGTCGAGAAACGTGTGTTCTACTCTCAGCTCTGTTGAGCAATTTTAGGCAAAGATGACAATGATCTTCTTTGCCCTTCCTTTCCTACAAAGTAAAAATAACTGATGATTCTTTCCAGCTTAAATTCTCTATGAGTCTAAGTTGTTTTTATAAGCCAATCATCCTTCATCCATGTAACATGAATTTCTAGAAGAGATCCACAGTTGCTATTGCTATGGCAACAAACAATCACGTGTCGAGAAACAAGAAAAAATGCCACTGATTGTACGGTTAGATGTATTTTTGTATTAGATAAATTTTAAAATAGACATTTACTTTTATTATAGTTAATATGAAAGAGTTTGGATGTCAAGTATATAATTGGGCATACTTCATATTCTAGATTTTGTTGCCATAAATATACCTCAAAATATAGTGAGTTTCTACTTGTCTTTTTGAAACAAGAGTACAGGGGTAATTTTTGGTTTTACAATTCCCCTCAAGATCAAGCACCAAATAGAAATAGTATTACCAAAACAATAACAGCAACAGGGGTAATTTTTGGTTTTACAATTCCCCTCAAGATCAAGCACCAAATAGAAATAGTATTACCAAAACAATAACAGCAAAAATCTAAAGCCATGTCCTAATTTTCACAAATATTTTATATGTGGTAAGATGCTCATACAAAGAGTAGTAGAAAGTTTTTTGAAAAACATCCCATTTCAGTTTTTGCAACATCTTGACAAGGTCCTTGGACAGAAATTATTGAGAAAGGACACTTGAACAGTTAAGAGAAAGACAGTGGTATGATTAGGTAGAAAAACTGAAGAAGGCAGGAGCATTATAAGAACGACTGTTGTGTATTTATTAGTCACCAAAACAAGGTTAGCTTTTAACCTAGGACACACATGGAACTGAAAATTAATGGAAATTTGGCTAAGTGAAAACCTGAAAGTGGCTGGGTTCTCATGCAGCAGCATTAAGAAAGTTACCTAACCTTTCAGAAAACTGGAGATATGGATAAGATAGCCTGTAGGACATTGCAGACTGGCAAACTCAACTCCATTCCAAACCCTATGTTGTATTCTTTATTGTACCACATAGAGACTCAGGATAATATCGATGGTTACCAGACTTCCTTCCAGCTCCAGTTCTGCCTGAGACCTGGCCTTTGCCAAGAAGAAATACCCAAGTGAGATCAGAAAGGAGGAAATGAGACAAAGGCTACATTTCTGCGATTTCTACTGCCAAGCACAGTTGTAGAGGCGTTTGTGGGAATGATTCCGAAGTGTTCTTGGAGTCGTTCCTGAAAACTCAGCCTAGAACTTGCTCTTCCAAGCCTTGGACAACTTTGTAAGCTCCTAATTCTCTACTTTAAACCTCTTTCAGTTAAACAAAGTAGAGGGCTTTCTATTTTCTGAGACCGAACCCCGACGAAGCCAGGGAGTATCTAAATCCCCTATCAGTATTCCAATGAAAATTTTCTATGCTGACATGACTAGGCCATTTCCCTATCCACTGTGACTTTTTTTTCTTTCAAGAAAGCAAAAATCTGAAGCCTTCATACATTAAATGCATGTTGCTATAATTGAGTATAAACGAATATATATTAATAATAATTAAAATGCTTCTCCCCAGAAAAAAAGCAAGGATCTCCTGAATTAGCTTCCGCAGATAACATTTTGCGTACTTACCTGCTACGGCAGCATCCAATTCATCTTCATCCAAGGATTCCTGTGTGGTAAAGTCTCTCAAAGGAGACAGTGGATAGGATGTATTGAGATTCAAGCCCAACATGAAGTTGTGCACCTTCCCAGCACGTCCTTCTCGGGTATTGAATAAAGCTGAATCACTCACCAAGGCCATTAACATACGATGAACCCAACTTGCTTGATTATCATTTTGATATTCCCTTTCAGCATCTTCATTTTCAGTGCCTAAGGAAAAATAAAAGGTTATTATACAGATTCAAATATGCACTGAGAAAAAGAAAATAAATTATTTGGGTAACTGAATGTTGAAATTAACAATGAAGCTCTATGACTTTTGATTTTCCGTATGTTTATTTATATAAATTAATATATTAAATATTTCAGCTAATTACTTTTTTCTTTCTTTAAGTTGTTCTTCACCCATAAACCTAATGCCATCATAGCAACCCTATAGGAGAGAGTACAACTGCCCACAGGGTTTCCAAAGCTAATCTTTCCCAGAAGCAGACTGACACATCTTTATCCTATGGAGTGGCTGGTGAGTTTGAACCACTAACCTTTCAGTTAGTAGCTGAGCACTTAACCACTGTGCCACCAGGGCGCCTTTCTTCACCTATAGTCAGTTTAAAAGTTGTATTCTTGACAGTGCTACTTGGTCTATTCTTAAATTTCCAGGCAAACTTGTTGCCATCTCTCCTTTTCCCTAGGTCTTTTTTTCCTTTACACACACACACACACACTCACTGAAAATCCACACTAGCTGATTCTATCCTCAGTGTTTCTTAAATTTACTTCCCTACCCTGACAGATAAACGTCCAAGAATTGTGCAAAATAAGAACAGACAACTAAAGGGTTGTTTGATGCTCAATAAACATGCTTATGATCAATTGGTCATACGAACTGTCATTTCATTTTTACTTATGAGGTTTGTGTTCAAAATCCTGTAATTGAAATACGTACTTTAAATTTTTAAAATTTAGGGCCAACTTCCAAAAGAAACAGTATCAAATAGTATTTTCTTTAAAACCGAGGTGCACATCACTACTCCTGGGAAGCCACATTGCGTAGTCCTTTAATCATGGGCTCCAGAATCACACTGCTCAGGCTCCAGTCCTTTCCCCACTGTTTACTAGCTGCTTAACTTTTCTCTGCCTCCGTCTCCTTGACAGTAAAGCTCATAGGGTAGTTGTGAGGATTAACGGAATTGGTGCATCCGTATAAACTTATTAGAAAAGTGTGTGGCCCATATTAAATTCTCTGTAATCACTCGGTCGTGGGAGAAGTAGTTGTAGCGACATCGGCAGCAATAGCATAGTCATCATCATCAATATTATTAATTCATAACCCAAGTCCAAAAATATCCTGGGCTAGAGTATAACCTCACCTATTTAAACCCCATCTGATCTAACATCTGGGAATTCTGTATATAAATATGCTGTTGTTGTTACCTGCAGTCAACTTGGCTTTGACTCACGGTGGCCTTACGTCCAACAGAACTAAACATTGTCCAGTCCTGTAGCATTTTCAAGATCATTATACACATGCATATACAAAACTCTGTGTGTGTAGGTATGTGTGTGTTGAGAGAGAAAAGAGAGTCTCTTCAAACTTTGTAATTTAATATAAATTAAAAGTAAGCATGCATAAAAGCATAATAAATGTTGATTTTTATCTTCACAAACATTAGCTTAATGAGTTGAGTAAATGAATGGATCTTTCTTTCAGTACCATTTCACTTCACTACATATTCACTAAAAAACAAATATACTATTTTTCTACTCCCATGCTTTTCTGATGTCAAATACGACAAAGAGAAATTTTCACTAAAACAGATCAGGTTTTAAAATGAATGCTGTATATCTCCAGGTACACATGATATGAATATGATACTCAATGCTTTTCCAAAAATGTGGTGTTTATTACTATTAAATATTATTAAGTAACTCCCCACTTCCATACCAACAGAGGATCTGCATTCCTGATGTTACAATTGAAAATGGCAACAATTCTGGAAGAAACTCAGCAATCAACAGATATATAATGTTTATTATTTTTTAGCTGTCTTACTAATGGTAAATGTCTATTTCGCATAGCCCTTTACAATTTAAGGCCTTTTTGTATGTATTTGATACTTTGATGATTGCAGTAATTCTGTGAGAACAGGTAAAACGATTCAATTTGATTTGAAGACACTGAAGTTGAAAATGCCAAAAGACTTTGCTCAAAATTATATGCCTAAGAATGAGGGAGCCAAAACTAGGACTGAATGCTTTCCAGGACAGGGTTCTTCTGGAGTTCCTACCTAATGACCAGGACTGCTATATATGGTTAAGCAAATCAACTGCTGCATAAGGCAGCAGGACAGTGGGAAAATAAGGACTGAAACCCAGCTTGTGTTCCACTGGCCAAGACTCGTGCCCAGACGGGAGCTTTGTCTTCTCAGGAAAGGGCACTTTTTAATTTTCACAGGACACTGCACAGTGGCCAAACCAGGTATCTGTGCAACTACTTTTTTATAATTTGCACAAACTCGTCTTATAAGGAAGTAACAGCCCAATAGTTAGATTAAACAAAGAGAGAATTTTCATTTTAGTGAAGATTAAAAAAGGATAACACATGCCTGGTGGAATTCATCAAGTTTTGGATAAGAAAGCATTTAATATTGTCTGAAATCTGTATGATCATACTCAGACCACAGCTGATCACCACATTCACCCAGTTGTTATCAAGTCATTTCTTTGTAACTTTTTTCTTTTACTATTGGGAACATTTTTACAAGTGGCTATGCCAAAACACTGTGTCAAAGTGCAAAATCATTCAATTTTACCATAGAATGTTCGCAACGAATGTCTCTGATCCTCACCTTATCACCACCCCAACTCCACCACTGACTATCGTGATCCACAGGAAGATGAAAACTGCCTCGGCAAAGGGTAAAAGTATTACTTTTTTATACTACCAAGTAATAAATGCAACAGAAGTTCTTGAGAATTTTAACCAACTTCATTACTGATTCGCCTCCTAAATGATGCGGTGCTGGCAGTGGAATGTGGCTCGGGAATGGGATGAAAATACATTTTTTGTGTGTTACTTAATAAAAAAAATTTTAAAGGTAAAATTTTAATTTTTAAAGCCAGATGAAAGTGTCCCCAAATTAAAATTTCGTCCAAATCAGACATAAAATGGAATTCAACATTTCTACCCTCTCAATGTTTGTCTTCCATTTGTTCAATTGAAAATATTCTTGAGGTATTAAATCTAGGACTAGTATAAAGTAACAAGTTTTTACTGAAGAAAAGAAATAAGGGATGTTTATGTGCTGCATATTTTATTACATATGCAACATTTAATCCTCTTTCTCTCAATGGAAGCCTACAATCTCATTACTTCAGTCCCTTAAATAGAGACTAGTATTAGTGCCTTGAGCGAGAGAATCAGACGAAATATTTCCATCCTTCCCCATGGATCTCTGCCAGAGAAGGTTCTGTCTCTCTTACCTTTGGGCTCTTGTGATTCATCATCACTATCTGAGCTATCATTACTCACAATATGTTTTGCCGTAATATTTTCTGTGGAAAGAAAACAAAACAATTGAAGCATCTCAGGTGTTAAAAATCCCCAATTAAATTTACACAAGGAAGTAATCTGAGCATAAAACACAGAACAATGTCTACAACTGAAGCATTTCATGTGTTAAAACTCCCAATTAAATTTACTAGAAGGAAGTAATCTGAGCATAAAACATAGAAAAATGTCTACTAGATTTACTAGTATAAATTTGAATCAATTTAGTAAATCTAGATTTATAAGAATTACCAGTGTTTTAAAATTTCTCACTGGAAAACAAAATTTCACAGGATAGGAAAAATTAAATTAGTTTTAAATTCATTCATTCCTGATTTAGAGAGGAAAATTTTTATTTGTTTATCTTAATGCTGACAAGAAGAATAACCTTATTATTGAAAGCTCCTCATTATACCACAAGATAATCATATTTCTTCAACTTAAATAGTTTTAAGGTATATATGAAAGTAAATGCAAAATATAACCCAAATCTACATAGAGGCTATAGAACAGTTTCTTCAAAGAGAATGAAAACTATTAATGTAAGTTATCTTTTAATTTTCAATGATACTGAAAATCAGGTGGTGAAATGCACCTTTTGCTGTCAAGAATTTGTGCTTCCTGCAGAACATATTAAGAGAGCAGTTATAAAAACTAAAACAGCAACCATAAATCCTAAAACAAAGATAGCAGTAAAATCTAGTATAATAAAGAGTTACCTTTTTCCAAGCAAAAAGCACTTAAATTATGAAGCACACAGATCATTCTGAAAATCACCATTTGTAGAAAAATCGAGCTTTCTTTGGACACCTATATAAAATCACTTCCAATACAGTGACCTTTTTTTCTTTTATTTGTGAATATATATATATATATATATATATTCACTAACATATATATGGAGCCCTGGTGGCACAGCGGTTAAGAGCTTGGCTGCCAGCAAAAATGTCGGCAATTCAAATCCACCAGTCGTTCCTAGAAAACTCTATGGGGCACTTCTACTCTGTCCTATAGGGTTGCTATTGAGTCAGAATCAGCTCAATAGCAATGGGCTATATATATATATATGTGTGTGTGTGTGTTTATATATATATTTTTTTTAAGAAACTGGCTCCAAATTTACAAATATCTTTTGTCAAAAAAAAAAAAATTAAAAATAGACATATTACTTGGAATTCAAGACGTTTCTCTTACTCATGAGCCCGATATAAAGAGTAAAAGCCAGACCCAAACTGAAAAACTACTGACCTTTTGCTTTTTAACCAGGAAATGCTAAAATGCTAGCTACTCAGCAACATTGTCAATTTGCCTTTTCTGGCTCAAAAAGGGTAGTCAAAAACAAATCCATTACTTCATGATTTAATAAAAAAGACTATGCTTCCTTAATTTTAATTTCAAGAGGTCTCATAGCTACAAATAGGTAAAAGGCCACATTTTCAGAAGTTACTTTTTTAATGCTAACTCAGTAACCATCACGTACTGTGTCACCCTGGAAATTTGAAACCTGTATTTAAGCTTCTGTAAAATCTCTAGTTCTCTGGAGCATGTTTTCTTCATGCAGAGAGATGCTCACTCCCCCAGTTTGCAAATTGTTTATGAAATCATACAGCAACCAAATATTGTGCTATTCTTCATTTTTTAATAAACAAACCTTTAATCCAAAGGTTTATTTTTTTTTAGCAATTGTAACTAGCCTACCATAAGCAACTTGTTTTTAGAAACAAAATGATCTCCTTTCGTGCATACAGATTAACTGCTTGAAATAAACCGTGTATTTTAATTTCTTTGTGTTCTGATTATTTTTAACACAGTGACAAGACAATATTTTTGGGCTTTAAACTCAGAGAAATATAGTTAAAATTTTTGGTCTCCCTATGACACTCTGAGCATATTTACTTATTACACTTACATAAATGGTAAGAGCACAAATGATTAAGTAATGGAAGGGTTAATAAATGCTTGAGGCAGTAGATTAATATTTATTTGGTAGCTTTAGATTTATTTATTTTTACCTGCATGATTATATAAATGAAATTCATAAAATAAAATATTTACTGACTGGTGTTATTATCCATTTCATGATCATTACAGAAAGTACTTTGGTTGTTTAGGGGGAACGATAAGAAATGATCCACTCCAGCTGTCATATAATTTAGGTGTGCTTCTGGTCCTGTATGTATTTCAGAAAGAGGAAATGTTCTTTCCTTAAACACTTCCTTTTTTGGTCACATTTGATGTTTTGATTTCAGAAGATGTTTCACCAAAATATTATCTTCTTTATGATTTATGAGTAAGTTTCACTGATTCCTCCAAGTTTTTTAACTAATATGAATAGCTAGATGTTCTGAACTTCTATGTTTTTCATTTATCTAGTATGGAGCCCTAGTGGCGCAGTGGTTATGAACTTGGTGGCTAACCAAACGGTTGGCAGTTCAAATCCACCAGCTGCTCCTTGGAAACCCTATGGGGCATTTCTAATCTGTCCTACAGGGTCACTATGAGTCAGAATTGACTTGACAGCAAGGGGTTTGGTTTTGTTTTGTTTTTAGGATAATGTACAACTCCATCTATTCAAAAGCATAAATTTCTCACATTCAAAACTGCTGAAGGAAGTAAAGACTTTTTTTTAGAGTTACCTGACTGTGGTCCAATCTACCTTAAGGTTTTTCTTTAGAAGGGTGAAAATAAACGAACCTCCCTTTAAGAGGTAGGACTTCAGTCAGCCAATGGATGAAAAGAGTCACCAGAAGTCCTCAGATTCACCTTTGCCACCTCTCTGATTTTGTTTCCAGAAACCCTTACTTCATCTGAGGTAACATTCATCCTGCTGGTTAGTGGATCTCAAGCACACAGTATTCCCCCATTCTGACACACAGCAAGAGTAAATAAGCTCACAAACCACTGCCCTCATAGGAGACATCTCACAAAAAAGAAAACATCCTCCTTTTCCTTGGCCTTTAGCCATTGCCTAACCCCCTGTCAGCTGTGTTATTTCAGTCTTATTCTCTTCCTGCCTCAGGGGAAAAAAAAAAACCAACCTGAGGTTTATCATGGTTACTCAACAGAGAAGGAACCACGTAACTAACATGTGGTGCTTCCACTGTTATATTTTTTTTTCTCTTTGAAATTCTCACATAATTTAGAAAAGAATTATTTATTTCCACAAAATTAGAGTTGAGAACAGGACAATCAGTTGGGATATAATATTCATTAAAATAAACCAGGTAAGATCATTTCAGCTTTATACATGTTGCCTGGTAGTTTCCTTTAAGAGAATGTGGTCAGTATTCTAGGTCATCACAGGCTGAGGAGTTCAGTCAACCTTGGCTGCTTATTAATTGAGAGATGCTCATAAGACAGGAGCAAGTACAAGCAGAAAGTCCTTTAAAAAAAAATTTTTTTAAATCTTTGGCTGTAATGAAATAAGATCACTTTTTCATTACTTATTAAGAACTATTCAAACAAATGTTACTCTTGAAGAAAACATTAAGGGCAGTAGAAGTTTACTGTATTTAATATAAATATGAATAAAATACCAGATAACTAAAATCAATTCTTGCAGGAGGAGTGATAGCACTATTTTTAAGCCAATTTACAGTGTTCTAACTAATGTTACATTTGTGTTCTCTTTTGCATATAAAGCTTAATTAAATCAACTGCTATTGCCTGGGATAACCAAAGGCAACTGGTCAAAAAATCCTACGGAAAGCTTTTACATGTAAGCTTTCTTCAGACGAATTGATTGTTGTCATTTATGCTATTCTGTGAACTTCTCTGTTCTCAAAAAGACCAGTGGTACTTCAAGGTCAGAGAAGAGATAGTGAGCATTTGTGCTGATAGCAGGACCCTTCACCCTGGTCCCTGATGTCTGGCCTTAAATTCAGTTTTAACATTCCTCTGCTTCTTTCCACTACCTGTCAAAATAGCCATAACAAAAGTCAGTGTTGGTTAGAATACAGATAGCAAGACTTGGCAGGGTAGATACTGAAAGTATATATATTTTTGAATATTTTATTGTGCTTTAGGTGAAAGTTTACACAGCAAATTAGTTTTCTATTCAATTATTCGTACACAGATTGTTCCATGACACCGGTTGCAATCCCCTCAATGTGTCAGCACTCTCTCCATTTCTACCCTAGGTTTCCCATTTCTATTCATCAGGTTTCCTGCCCCTCCCTGCCTTCACATCTTTGCTTTCGGGCAAATGTTGCCCTTTTGGTTTCCTATAATTGATTGTTCTCAGGAGTACATTCTTCATGGGAGTTATTGTTTATTTTACAGGCTAGTCTATTATTTGGCCGAAAGGTGACCTCTGGGATTGGCTTCAGTTCCAAGTTAGAAGGATGCCTTAGGGCAAGAGTTTTGGCGGTTCCTCCAGTCTCTGTCAGACCAGTAAGTCTGGTCTTTTTTATGAATTTTTATTTTAGTCTACACTTTTCTCCCATTCTAACTGGACCTTCTATTGTGTTTCTGGTCAGAGTGGTCAGTAGTGGTAACCAGGCACCATCTAGTTCTTTTAATCTCAGACTAGAGGAGGCTGTGGTTCCCTTGGACTAATTACTTCCTTGAGTCTTCAGTTTTCTTCACTCTCCTTTGTGCCAGACAGGAAGAGACCAATAGTTGCATCTTAGGTAGATGCTCACAAGCTTTTAAGACCCCAGACACTACTCACCAAACTAGGATGAAGAACATTATCTTTATTAACTATGTTATGCCAATAGACCTAGATGACCCCCAACACTATAGTCCTTAGCCCTCAAACCAAGTAACTCAGTCCCTCAAGATGTTTTATTATGTCTAAGAAGTTTCCATAACTATGTCCTCTATGTGTTGTATTATATATATGAGTATACATGTAGCACATACAAATATGTATGTAGAAATATCCACAACTATATGTATATATGCACATGGGTGTACTCCCATACAACCTCCCATGATTATTTAGCATATATATCTAGCTATGCATCCACTCATAAGTTGTGGTTTCTTATTACTGTTGTTT